CAGGACAAACCCGACAAAATTAGTTTGGGCCCCATGAAGCATCGTCCGAAACCCGCCTCTCACGTGTCCATGCCAGCCTGTCAGGTCCTATGCATCTGCACAACCACATCGACCTTTGCGCGCCTTGTCTGCCTTGGGTTTCTGCAGGAAAACTAATTAGTCTGCAGACGGACACAGAAGAAAAGGCCACGAGTGCCAGACTTCATTGACGAAGTGGCGCTGATGGCCACCAAGCTGGACGTGAGACTACCTCAGCAAGTGCGTTTCATGTTTAACAGACTTTGACTTATCTCGCCTTCTGAGCTCAGGCCACATGTCATAAACAACGCGTGCCGCTGCTGCAAACTGGACCAGAACTGGCCTCAAAGACCCAAATGTGCCATTGCAGGTATGGCCTGCAGTGCTCGAAGTGCACCCACCTCATAGAGGCATCTACTGGTTTGCGAACTTAGTGGCTGACTGTTGTCAGTTGACCTGTGAGCTGTGCAGACTGGCTGCCGCCGGGGACGAGTGGATGCTTTTGTCCAGCTCTCATGGTTTCTGGTGCAGTCATGAGCTCGCATGGGAAGAACACAAGTTGGAAATCCTATCATGCGTTCTAAGCAAGTCTACCTAAGTTGGCCGGTCTCAATGGTCATGCTGAATTCGATTGGCACGCTTTATGCTGTCCTGCTACACATTCTGCAGGTGCAGAGCACAGACAAGAATTTCATGGTGCCAGTTGGTGGAGCCATAGTCGCGGGACCTTCCTCTGCCTTGGTTGACAAGGTGCGGTCTTTGAGTGAGGTGAGTTCCTAGGGAGGTTTCGAGTGCGACTGCGGGACAAAGGTGTCCAGTCTCTATCCGGGACGTGCATCGATGGGTCCTGTGCGCTTTGCTCATGAATCTTTCAATGCAGCACCCAAGCAGAGCTGAGTCACCCAGGCTAGACCTGTTCATCACCCTGCTGTACACGCCTAAGCTTGCGTAGTCAGAGATGGACGCATATGCCATTGCTTCGGGCAGGTGGCTTGTGCGTTCAGGCCACTGCAAGCGCTCGTAGCTCGCAGATTGCTTAGGTCCCTGGGTGCATCTGGCTGGACTGGCCTGCTTCAAGAAAGGAAGGATCCAGCCTTGGTGCCTGCGTGGCTGGCTGGCTAGCTGGCTAGCTTTGCATCGGGCCAGACTGATTCTGAGGACAATGCCAAGTGGTTTGAAGATCGTTTATCTTCTGTGTCCCAAAAGCTGGGTTCTGGTCTCAGGTTTTGTCAACTTGTAGTTGGGCCAGAAACGTTCGCCTCCACTAATTTACTCGATTCTGTCATTGTTTTTTGATGTTCATTCCGAGGCCTTCGTGTGTTGAAGGCAAGGGTTGCAGGGTGAGTTGGTTGTCATGGTTGCAAGAAGCGGCATCGGCAGGTTCCTGCAAATCGCATCTCTTTCTGCGTTGACATCAACGCTTTGGGAAGGTGCGCGTTCCGCGTTCAGCAGCTTAGGGAAGCGGTGCTTGTGCCTGCCAGATGCCCGTTCCCGGCTCAACAGACAAGCCTTGGCAGATGATGGTGTGAGCATGCATCAAGACTTTTCAGAGTGACTGCACACGGCAAAACCGGTGACCGCCCTACACAGCCATGCTTCTTAGTCAACGAAGCTCATGGCATGCCTAGTGTCGTGCCCTCAAGGTCCTCGCTGCTAACACAGCATGTAAGCGATACGAAGTATGCAGGCGGCTCAAGCCGAATGGACAAGGAGAATCCAAGAGAAGGCTGCTTCGGGGACACTGTCTGTTGGTGCATTAGTGCAGTTCGTAGGAACCTCTGGCGCACCTCCCTTCCTGCCTCCGCCTTACTGTTGTGCTGGAAAAGGCAATGGTAGGCAGGCGCTGTGCATGATGTGAGTAGCAGACGACTCGCCAAATAGGTGAAGGTGGTTGCGCTTGGCACCACCATCTGGGGATCTGTCTCTGCAGGCTCGCGATCACCTGCTATCAATTCTTGCTCAGGCATCGTCACTCTGTGCAGGACCTAACTCCACACACGAGCAAGTCTGGAAGTCCGGGCGAACAGTGTCCGCTGGCTCGAGAAGCCGGAATTTGTGATCATACTCGTAGGTGCTGATGACATGTGCACCTGACCCCGTTATGATATTCATAATTCGTATGAGCATCAGTACTGACACTAGTACTAGTATCAGCATGCATTGACAGTAAGAGTACGAGCATGCGGGTGTGTATTAGTATTCGTATGAATTAGTATTCATAAGGTGCCAATATGAGAGTGGTTTTCGTGGCTAGTATTTCGATTAGTATAAATATTGGTATTAGCATGGGTCTTTGTATTTATTTAATCGCTAACGCGAGACGCCTCGGCAAGTGTAATTCACGCGACCCCCTTCCCAGATTGTTTCAGCGTAGCCTCATTCTCCCCAAATTGGCCAAATTTGGCCTGGCGCTTAGAGGGAACCTGCAACATTGCGAGCGACACTCAATGCGCTAGATGTTAAACAGAAAAAAAATGCTCCAGACCTCCCCCCCGCCCCTACCCCCCCGCCCCGCCCAACCTTCCTTGACCCCCCCCCCTCACCCTAACCCACCCAATCTGTGTGGCCTGACGTCGCGGGAACCTGCATTTCGGCCCCAAGCGAGCCCGTGCGAACCCTTTAGAAAACCGAAAAGTAGGAGTCGATTCATTGGAGCAGGCCGAAAGAGCTGCAGTTGCTGCAAACTGTACGGTGCCTTCAGTAGCAGCAGCAGCAGCAGCAGCTTCTCTGGTGCTGGCTGGAGCCATAGCTCTAAGTGAAGTGAAGGCCCCAGAAGCCCAGAAGTCTACAAGGACAGATTGCATCTGAAAGTTTAGAATAGTTTTTCACACACTGTAATAGAAGAGCCCTCAAAAATTTATTACTTGCAGGGAATTCTTTATTTCTAGGGGCTTATCGTTGCAAGGCGAGCTCTTTGTGGCCAGTAGCAGCCTAAGATCGATTGGTGTGGGGCCTTTAACTAACAGAGTTGTAATAGGAATCCGAGAGCATTTCGAACCTTTGAAATCCAATCCTGGAGCAGGTCAGCAGTCTCCCGTCCTCTAGCGGTTCGGCAATTTATTGGCCCTGCTCTAGCAGTTCTGATATCTAATTAGCTGCAGTTCTGCCACAGGCTTGCGTAATTTGGGGCTAGCCTAAGCGCTGCCAGTCTCCAAGTCGCCGCAGTTTTGCAGCAGCGCTGTTTATTTATTACTTCTTGAGCATTGCAAGTCTCAAGTGTGCTGCAGCTTTGCTAGCTTTTAAGTGCGCTTAAACATTGCAATTTTCCAGTTTGCTGTAGTTCTGCAAGCCTCTAAGCCTTCTTAAGCATTGCAAGTTTCCAGTTTGCTGCAGTTTTGCTAGCTTTTATGAAAAGAGCATTGCAAGTCTCAAGTGTACAGCAGTTTTGATAGTTTTGTAGGCGTGCTTAAGCATTGCAAGTCTCCAGGGTGATGTAGTGTTGCAAGCTGTTACTCCTGCTGCAACAGTCCGAGAGTTTTTTTGAGTTATGTTCCTTGCCTTTATTTTGTGGTAGGTTAACGTTATGGAGGAAGGAGAGGGAGGGGAGGGTCCCGCTAGCCAGGTCAGAAACTGCGGAAGCATTCAATGACCAGCAATTTGCAGGGTCGCTTCGCTGTGTCTAGACACAGGCTGTTGCTGATAGCAGGCAGGCATGCCGACCATGACTTCCAGCCTGAACAACCTGTTTTGGTTCATTGATCCGTTGATTGCTCGAAGAATTTCCAACTTGCATGAGACCGCTCCTCACTGGAAGGTGCCAGCCCTCCCTCAAGATCTAAGGTGGAGGGTTCTTGAGGCTGGTGGTCATCAGGGTTTTGGGTTTTGAGGATAAGACCTAGGGTTTGAGGGCCGGGACGTGGCTTGAGACCTTCAAGCACAGCTTTGGCCGGGAGCTCCGCCAGCCGTCACATATATGTATTTATATATATATATAGATCTCAGGGCTTGGACTTTTCGCAGTGCTCAATACAGCTGCTGTAGGCCTCTAGCATATGAGCCTGCCAGTGGAGCCTGAAGGAGTCCAGATGCGGAATCACAATTGAAGAGGGCTCTTTCAAGCATGCGCTTTCTTGTCCAAGCCGTGGGGAAGACATGTTCTAGGATGTGGTTCCTGTGGTTCCTTCTGTTATTAGAGCTGCGGACGGGGAGGAAGCACGTGAGCTGAATTCAGTTCTTGGTCGGTATGATGACGGAGCATGTGACCATTGACCGCATCCAAGGCCAGCAGCTTGTAGCTGCGAATCTCTAGATGGGAATTGGAAGCAGCTGCGAGAGGTGGCGTGGAAGGCGCAGTTGCTGTTGCTGATGTTGCAAACAGCTTTTCTTTCACCTAAGGGCCGTCATATGTTTTGGCATTCCGGAGTGTCACGTCGAACGTCAACTGCAAATGGTGCCAAGCTTGGCATAAGTGAATGGCTTCAGCCAGGCTGAATTTTCAAAAGTGGAAGTAGATAGTGAATTGTCCGCGCATGTTGTAGGCCCCCAAAAGTCCGGCTCCCCATGTCGAGCAGTTTCCTCGTTTTCGATAGTGTTTCTGAAAGGTGTTTTCGTCAGGCAAAGCAAGCGTTTTTTGAGCTTGGTTTGTCGAGGAAGACCGCCCCTGTGTTTGCTTTCAGATGTTGGCAGGCTTTCACGCCCGATTTTTCCGCGAGAGTGCTGAAGCCTAAGCCGCTGTCAGAGTTCAGCTGAAGACTTGCTGGCAGCAGCGGCACAGGTTAAACTTCTCGGATCCGCTTTTTCATTGGCTGCTTGCTTGCACGGAGAACCGACATCAGAACCCAGTTTTGGAAGCTCTCGCGCGGAACTTGTACCGGCATTGAAGGATCCGCCACTTCCCGTGTCCTGAATTACCGGCCGCGCGCTTCCGAGGGGCAGCGGCTTTATCTGATTGTGCCACGCCTGCGATATTCCTACCGGTGACTGAGTCCTTGGCATGCGCTGGGACACTGACAGGTGCTCCCGGAGTGATCTTGCTACACGTCCTCTGTGCACGCTTCTGAGCGCAGCTAGTATACGATTTCGCATGGCCGCAAGTTGCAACCTGACAGCCCAGGCTCAGCGGAAGCTGCTCCAGCTGCCTAGGGCTCATCGAAAAGCATCATGACTGGTTACAGATGCTGCGGGCTGCACCTTGGACCTACGTGAAAGGCACTTTGACGATGCCCTGGAGCAGCTCATTGAGGCTCTCATGGCCCTTCCCTTCGCCGAAGAATGTGCGACACCGATTGGATCGAATCTTCCCATGCATGCTGTATCTCGTGAAGAGGCGATGCTGCAGGAATTCATCGCAACATTGCACGACTCCAGAAGTGTGGCGGCTCAAAGTGGGGCGGGAGGGCAGAGCCCCTCCTGAAGTCCTCTGCATAATTATGACACGGCAGCACATGTACTTGACTTAATGCAACAGACCCTTGCGTACGAAAGCTTCCTGAGTTCCATGTCTCACCCTGTGTGACAGCGGGGTTAGGATAAGTTGCAGCCCTCCGCGCTGATGAGTTTCAAGCTTTGTGAGCGAGGCTGTGGACGTGTGGTTGCCGAAGGCAAAAGCAAAAAGGGTTATTCCTTCAAGACTTGCTGTCGTGCGTGTGCTACAGGCAAGGGGCACGACGACACATGCTTGGGTCCACCAGAGGTGCCCCAAGATGAAGGCTCTTCACAGCCGCGCACAAAAAATGTACTGGACGCGAATCCAGTTTTTGAATTGAGCCCTGAGCTCTTCATTGTAGAAGATGAGCCACCACCTTGCTTGCCACCATCGGCAGGGTTGACCAACCGTGATGTCGATCCGGTGCAATGGGGTATGCAATACTCGCAGTACATGGAGTTCATCAATGCTTGCATGCTGACAAATTGCTGGAAGAATGCGGAGCGGAACAAGGAGTTTGTCAACTTATATGATTTGAATAATCTGCTGATATGCTGGACTCGGAACACTGGTGCCAGCATCGCCTTAAGGATGAATCCGGAACGGGCCGTCCACGCCGGGTTGATGGTATCCCATTGCTGGGGAGAGGCCATGAATGAATGCACAGAGGCTCTTGAAGACTTCCAAGCCCGACAAGACCTGGAAGGAAGTTGTGGCATTTGGTTCTGTGCTTTCTCACAATACCAAGCAGGCGATGAGCCCGGTGATGTTGGGCCAACTGTCGCAGAGCAGCTGACTCGAGATCCGTTCGGAACAGTTGTCAGAGCCGTTTGTAACCGTCACGGCATGGTTGTGGTGCATACATCCAAACAAGAGATCTATTCTAGACTTTGGTGTGTCTATGAAATATCAGAAGCACTCTCCGCACGCACTTCTGTCAACATCGCCTACTCCATGGAATATGTCAACAAGCATGCAGGGAATTTGGAAAGCATGCTTCGAGCAAGAACACGGGATGCGTGTTGTGCGAAAGACTCTGATGAGAATTACATTCGCGACAGAGTT